AAAGATTGTAATTACCAGGGTCCAAATTTTGATAACTTAAAAATTCACTGAAATTTCTCTTAAAAAAATAAACAATGAAAAACGAAATAAAAAACTAAAAAAAGTCCCTAAAAATAAATAATAGTATATGAAATGACACAATTGATAAACATTGATAAGTGAATTAAAGCTCAAATTACTTTGCTCATACCTCTCACTATTACACATAGTGATAGTGGTATGTGCTCAGTTACACATACCTCTCACTTGAATTTTATTTTTTCTTCCGAATTTTCAACCTTACACAAATGTATTACAATCACACTGAATTGGTTAAGTGCATCTTGATATTTTCGAAAGTAAAAGATCTTTGCTTATGAGTATATTAGTTTTTATATCATGAAAAGCTTCTCTTGACATCTACTGCAGTTATTGGAGCATACTTTGGGGGGGGGAGAGGAAGCTGTATCACTCATAGTTTTCTTTAGTTTCAAAAGACTTTACTTCTCCTATCAACATGAAGAATATCTTCTGCACAGTTTGAAAATAATTTTTAAGGAAAACGTTGTTGAATTTATCAAAAGCAGCATTTGAAATTTTACCTTTAACCTTTTTTAAAACATTGTCTGATTTGTCTATGTAGTTTACCGCATTTACAGGTTCCATATTTTGCTCATATAAGGATTTAATAGTTGAAATTAGGATCCTGAAATTCGATCTGATGTGTACTCAAGATTTCCTTTAATTTTTTCAGTGCAGAAAATATCTTGCCAGCTAAATCTGGATTCAGAAAACCTATTATTACATTGCACACGTGAAGACCATCAGCGTCATTATTTTATCAGTTGGTCTAACATATATAATCAGTTTTCTGTGGATAGAACATACATGACTAGTAAAGATGAGTTCAAAGGACCTGAGAAGATGTTATTTCAAGAGTGACTTTATTTTTCGGTTTAATAACTAAAAATGCCTCAAAATGTCCAAAAGACTTATTAAAACACACCAAAAATGCTCTGAAAACTTTTTAAATGCTTTAAAAGAGGAAAATACTCAAAAATTAAAAAAAAAAAAAAAAAAAGTGCATATGGAATCAAAATCTAGGCCTTGGAATTTAAAGTACTGAATTATTTTCCATGCACTCTTGCGAGTACAATGTAGCAGTATAGTTTGAGGCTGAAGTTAAGTTTTGGAAGAATAACCATGCAGCAATAAAAAGCCTGATGAAGTAGGATATATTTTCTCAAGTGATGCATTTATTTTTAGAATACAAAACTATAGGAAATGTTTGTAAAATAAGTGTAATGTGAAAAACAAATAAAATTCAGTCTTTAATTCAAACTGAAATGTGCTGCATAAAGTATCTCAAAATGAAATATGGGTAGAAACCACAGCAAGACAAATTCAACCTGCTGATGTGAAAATAAAGGCAAGAAAAAAGGTTTAAAAAAAGAAAATGTTTCTGTACCAGGTGCATAATATAATATTTAGCATTAGAAACATTTTTTTATTACTAATTACAATAGGATTGCAAACATTTATAAAATAATTAACAGTTATTGCTATATATTTTATTTTATATCAGTTAGATGAATTATAACAAAATAAATACAGATTTAAATTTTTAAGAAAATGTTTCTTTTAAATTGTTCAGTTGTTAAGCTGTTACAGATTGATTAAATTTGAAAGACAAAGGAAATGCTGAATAAAATCTCTGTACAACTTAGTGCATAAGACCACACAGAGTTCAGTTAATAATTCTTAGTTTTGCTTAGGAGCAATACTTGTCAAAGGGCATGGATAATAAATACACAATGATGATAAATGCATAGCATAATATAATGTAGTGGTCTAAAATTTTTGGCCTGCTTTGAAGATGTTGGAGTCAAAACATTAAAGTGAAAAAGGTGGAAGATGAAAAGTTTGAAACAAAATTTCTGTAACTGTCAGGATGTTACTGGAAGTAACCGCAAGAAAATGAAATATTTCCTTCTTACAATGCTGATTGCATTAAGTCTTTGGCAATATGTGAAATATGTGCATTGCAGGCTGAGTGATTAAGTTTTGGTTATTCATTGCAGTAAATGCTTTTAAAGGAAACCTTGAAAAGAATTTATCTTTAATTCGTATAGCAGGTTCTGAGACATTTATATAAAAGATATTTCTTAAGCATTTTTTATAGCATAAGGTTAGTTTGGAAGAGGGAAAAAAATGTAATAGAATTAAGGAATGGAAGAGTAATGATGGATATAAGAGGAAGCAGGAGAGCAGTCACTTTTGATAGGAATAGCAGTTGTTTCTATTAGTACAAGAGGTATGACAACATTAATTTTCTTTTCTCTTTTCTGAAATAGGCAATTTATGGAGGAACTAGTCACTTTAATTGAGAGGACGCCTAAAATAAAATCAGCATCTAGGTGGAAGCAACCACATGTTTTGAAGTAAGCTTCTTCTTTCATTTTTATCATTACATATAATGCAAACTAAGGCAGCTATTTTATTAAGCCATTTATGTAATGTAAATTTTTATTTATTTATTTACTAGTTTATTTATTTATTGAGATTCCATGTTATAATAATATATTTTCAGAAATTTGCCTCTTCCACTTTGCAAAGCCATGAAACCCAAATCATGGAGGCAAGTTTATTCAATGAAAGAAGTGAACAGTAGTTTGTCAAAAGTGCAAGTTATTGGTTTTGCTCAGAAGCTGGTAATCCTGGAGATTTGTTAATGCTTTTGTGATTAAACACTAATATTTATTTATGTTTTTATGTATGAGTATTGAAGAAATGGTACCATTTCACTAAAGTCATGTCATGCATTTCTGGTGCCATATTGGTACATTTTGACTTATTTCTTTCTCCATGGCTTTGGTGCCATACTAGAAAAAAAGGGAATGATTGGAAACAGACATAAGGAACATTCTCTAATTTCTTGCAAGAACTCTTCAAAAACTCATTTGTGAGGGTAAAACACAGCTTACATTATGTTTTCTTTTTGTGGATAAGTTTTCATGAATTTACATAATTTTGTTGCATCCACCAGTTTTAACATTAGAACAAAATAACAAGGATTTGGTACATACCTCTCTTATGTAATTATTCCAATCATTCTTCATTGTGTTTTGATTCATTTGGAGAAGCTTTGATTGACAAAAAATTAGTGCCTCATGATTATGGAAAAATACTGAAAAAATATTGTTCATTAATTTTTATGTGATTCTTGTTAAAAACATTGGCATAAATAACTTCATTTTTTCCTTTCTCCGTTAAGAAAATTTGCTGTAGGGCATAATTCAAAATAGATAAATCAGAACTTCTTGCAAGAGGAGGGAAAAATAGATGAATTTTGTATGAGTACCAAATGACTTACAAAGGAATTATATAAAGTTAATCTTCAAATACATAATAAATTTTGAAGTTTTTAGGTTTACACTGTCAATGGAATTCGAATATCCACTTCAGGGTTAAATAGTCAATGCCAGTGCTAAAAGAATACTTGGGCCATAAAGCTTTTTCTGATGTGTACAGTATTCAGCATTTCAGTAAGGCTGGGGTTTAGATTTTTAAAGGAAAGCAAAATTAAATTATAGAGTCTTTGACTAAATAAGTGATCATTTATTACACACAAGTAGTTATGCAGCAACTTAAACTAGAAAATTAGTTATCTAGACTATGCAGTTATTTTTATCAGGCATTTAATAAATTTATAAAAAAATCGTGGAAAATAATTGTTTACTTATAGTAAATATATGAGTTCTTTCCCCTGCTGTTTTTGAAAAATAAATCAAGGCCTCATGGGATTATTTTTATCATTAAGTTTTTTATGCATTGCATTTGCTATTAAAATTCTCAAATGCTAGTCGATTGGCTGACTAATCTTAAACAAAGAGATATATCAATAATTTTTAATTATATTTTTGAATCAAATTGTTAACTGTTGTATAATACAACAATTTTTAAAATGTTGAAGTTTAAAAAAAATTTTTTTCAAGTTATTTATTTTATAGCAATTTTTTAATAACTTAGATCAAGGTTAAATATGTACCTAATTTAAAAAGCATGCATTCTCAAAGTATTAAATTTCTGTTCATTTATTATGAAATTATTATATATTTTATTAATTAATATTCATTTTATATTATGGAAGAGAGTTCTAGTACCTGAAATATATTGTTATAACAATTTGTATAAGATTCATAAAAAAAATTGACTGGTTCTCGTACTGCTATCAGATAGCTATCAGAAGTGTATACTAAATCTGTAGAACATTGTGATCTTGGATTTCATTTATGGCAAAATAAATGATCAGAGAATTTTTTTTCGTATGTGTTTTGAAATCCCTTCTGAATATCTAGGAAAAATATGTATTCTGGAATAGTTCATCTTTATTGGTTCTATTATGAATTTTGTGCATAGATGGATGATCTTAGTGCAGTTATATGTGAAATTATTGTATTTTTCTGTATCGTGTAGCATGAAAAATCTAGAGAGGATGTTGTGCCAGAAAATTAAAAATACATGTGTAAATCTATTTGACACTGAGTAAATGGCTATCTCGTTAATTTGGTGAGATATCGGCAAGCTGGCAACGGTTTTGGCGACTAAATTTTGTCACCAAATTTGGCACGTAATTAAATACGCCACACCACCTTCTTGAAATTCTAAAAATGTTACCAAATGGTCACCAAAATTGGCGCCAATTTTGGTGACCATTTGGTAACATTTTGGTTTGGTCTCTATACCACCGTAATAGTTATTGTAATTGAATAACTGTAATTGGTTGTAGATACTTTGTAACCGTATTCATCCCTCATATGCGGCCCACCAGCGGCCGAGCGGTAAAATCGCTGAACACTGGTAGTTCGGTCCGAGGTTCGAATCCCGCGAACAGGCTGACTGCATGGGTGTTTTTTGTGGTTTTCCCCATGTGTAACGTGTATATGAGCCAGTTTCCCTTAGAAAGTCCTCCACGAAGGCATCCCTCCTCTTAGGCAGATAGCCCTCGAGGCTTTGCCAAAATCACGCACACACACATCCCTCATATGCCTTCCAGTAATTTCAAGAAGGTGGTGTGGTGTATTTAATTATGGCAACGCACACTAGGGTTATCTGCCTAAGGGAAGAGATGCTTTCGTGGAGGACTTTCTAAGGGAAACTGGCTCGTATACACGTTACACATGGGGAAAACCACGAAAACACCAATGCAGCGAGCCCGTTTGTGGGATTCGAACCTTGGACCAAACTACCAGTGTTCTGCGACTTTACTGCTGGGCCGCTGGTGGGCAAATTTCGCAAAGGAGAAAGTACTAGAAATATCTTGGCGGCTGGGTGAAAACTGTATGAACTCAGTTGTTGTGAGTTGTTAATTGAGAGTGACTTCAGAGTATTGAAATATCCGTGAAAGCTTTGTGTTTTGGATCTGCTTTGCATAGCATTGTCTTAATGTTCTTAGTAGTTGAAGTATAACTAGTGATTGAACTCTGTAATACTGTGAACACCTGTATGAGTATTTCTGTGAAAAATTCCAGATACTGAAAATACAAGTAAAGAAGATGCTGACAATTACATTAGTCCTGAGACAGCAATAGGTTGAAGGTTGAAGCTCTATTGGACTTTGTCAACCAAAGAAGATTTGATTACAATGATGAAATAGCAGCTTGAAAAATATGGAGGAAAATTCTACAAATATTTAAACATTCTAAAAAAAAGCAAAATTGTTAATTTTTTTAACAAATAATGGCATACAATATGCATGAAAAATTAATAGTTTGTATTATCCGTGTTTTTCAGTTACCCTTGACCTGCTTCCCTGTCCCAGATGCATTGTTCTGCTAACTTTTTTTTATATATATTTATTTATTTACTTATTTAGGATGTATATGGAGCTCTAAAAGTATCAGCTGTAAGTTCTGGGTATTGTCTTGGGAGCTGTAACTGGACACTCTGGACAAATCATGAAAAGGTATTTTTTGTTTTCTTTAAAATTGTGTAACTAGTATAATAATGTACATTTTCTTTTAAAGTTTATTTGTGTGTGCACTTAAATAAATAATAAATAAAATTCATAATTGTGTTTTTATAATAAAGTATCCTAAATTTTTTAGAGAAGACATAAAATTTTCTTAGAAATGTTTCTATTTCTTTTGTTATTAAAATGTTCTTTAATTATTAAGAAACTTATGTATTATTGCAACCACCTTAGCAGAAGTCACCAAATTCAGTCAACCATGTAACGTAACAGTTCTTTAGGTAGCCATATCCACTGTAAGTTGCAACCCAAAAATCCATTGAATCACTCTTTTCTTCTTTAAAAATCTCCAAATTGTGCAAAGGTGGTTGTGCTAATATGTAAGTACTATTATTAATTTATATTTTCCCCCTCTTGGCCTTCATATTTCTTATGAGATAATATGTATAGTAGTCTAGTAGGCCAGTTTTCAGATTTAAAAAAAATTGAGGAAGACTTGTTGAAATAGTGCTAAAACATAACATGAAAACACATGTGAACTAAAAACAGCAAAAAATTGTAAGTCATGATATGATAGCTCTTTCACTGCGACAAAATGTGAAAATAATGAAGAATTTTTGATTTTGCATGAAAAACTGTAAATAAGGATTGATTTTTTTTTTACAAAGACAAAACAGTGAAAATGATGATAGTTTTATTATTATTATAATTATTATTTTGCATTTTGCCTATGTTCGTTGAACTACCTTTTAATTTCTCGTAAATTTTTCATCAGTGAGATCATCAGCTCTATTCAGGAATTATTTAGATGTGATATCCGTGCATAAAGCTTATCAAAATTGTCTCTTGGTTTATAGTTTCAAGAGAAACATGGAAATTTGAACTTTAAAGTTGGGAAAATTGAATCTTAGATTGATGACAGTTTTATAAAAAATTGTATTTTCTGAAGTAATCTGACATGGATCGCTCAAGATACGTAGAGTTTTTCAGTAAAATCTTCTCAATCTAAAGCTAAATTGCATCTAGTTTTAAGCTTCTATTAATTAATTAATTAATTATCTTGATGTTATAGCCATGTAATGTCTTACATTTATATGTATATACATATACATGTGTATTTATATGTAATAGAATATATATATATGTAAGATGTAACAAACTAGGATAGTTGTTTTAAAAAATAATAGACGACCTCAAAATTAACATTCTAAGTTTGGTGTTGTCCTCCCCCCCCCCCAAATTCATCTCTTCTCCCAAATTCGAGATTTTTCTACATTATGTAACACTACTAACTAACGAATCATACATTAGCTGTACTTGTACATCAAACTTGGCATAAATACCCCTGATAACTAATTATGTCACTTTTTCTGCCATCTTCTTCCTTGCTAATAGCTCCTCTCTTTGCTTCCCTGTCTAAGCTGCCTGCGTAATCATAGAAATGTCTTGGATTTCATTATGATTGGATAAACATCTCTAGAGATGATTTTTATATGCAGGGAAATAAAGACTGGAAATTCATCAAGTTCATGTTTACCTTCATGTGTAAGCCTTTACTCTCAGCCACAATGAATGCAAGCTGATTTTTCTTCTATGGTTACCGGATTATTACATATATATTATATGTTTAAGTGTGTATGTTTGAAAAAACTTGAAATGTGAGTTATTTTTCTTTGTGCTAATGATGCTACATTTATTTATTTTTTTTCTTTCCCAAAAGTGTTACAGAATGCAGTTTTTTGTACTTGCATGTTAACTGGCACCTATCGATATACTGTCAAAAATGCCATTCCTGACTCTGATTCCTGTGACTGTTTGGTAACTCTAAAAACTTCAAAATTCTCCTAGAAGGAAGTGGTTTTTTTTCTTTTTCTTTTTCTGTTGTGGTTTGTATCTTCTTTTTGAAGGCTAAAGGAGAGTATCGATGGCTTCTTTTTTTCATTTCAATGGTAATTTCATACAAAGCAAGTGCATATCTTCATTGTATCAATTTTGTACTTTTCATGAATCTTTCCCTTTGAAAAAGTCTTTGGGCATTGTTTTTCCATTTTGTCTTCATTTTTACTGCATTTTGCATCATGTGTTTACTAGACTTGCTGAGATATGAAGCAGAATCAATTTATTGTTTCCAGGCATTTGATGTTTTGCCGAAATATCGTTATGTTATGCATTTAAATCGTACACACCGGTAGATGTATGAGAGAAAATATTGTATCAACATCTGCCAACAAAGACATAAATTAAGAACTGAGAAATGGTTTAAGAAAAGTCACTTGCTTTTTTATTTAGCAGAAATAATATGAAAGCAGAGGCTGTAGTCTGGTAGGAATAACAACATGATGCAATTTTAAATGCTGCTGGAAATAAAAAATTCTATTTTTATGATCTGTTGATGATGGAAATATATATCATTGCCAAAATGTGCCAGTAAAGTTTTGGTGATGTTATCAGTAGGCATTTCCTAATACCTAACAATCCCATTTTTTTTTTTTAATAGATGTCACTAGTGTATTTTGCATTTCAGTCTATTTTTATTCCAAATGAACATTTTAATTAATATAATTTTCAACAGTCATTGATGAAATATTATTTATAGCGTGTTTATTTGTTTCATTTTTGATGTTGAGTGATGTTAGTGCACTGGTCTCAAATTCAAACTGTGTGCAGGTTGCATGCATGACCTGAAAGCAACTGAAAAGCCATATTTTTTAAACAAAATTTCATATAACTAACTAAATTTTAACTTAATTTCAAATTTCTTTTACTAAATTCTTATAGAAACATATAAACAAATAATAATGCAAAGGAAAAAAATTTAAATTTTATCATGCTTATTTTCTATCTAACAAATTTTTGTTGGTTACATTTCATAATACAAAAGCATTAACCCCTTAACTGCCGCAGAAAACGTACAAGATTCATTTCCCAGTGCCATGGTTTTTCATACAGGCACGCAAATTATTCGATGTATTAGGGGGGAAATAAGTTCAAGTTTTACTTTCTAAAAACTGTTTACTTTCACAAAATAAAGAATAAAAGAAAAAAAATGAATGCACAAACTTTAATGTTTTGAGTAAAAGTATAATAAAAAGATGTAAGTAATGATGTTTTTATAATAAAAAGATCCCTACAATGGAGTTTCGATCAATTCATTTTTAGAGCAGTAAAGTATAATATCAGGTTTCAGTGTTATACCTTGTGAAATCTGTATGCCTAAAAAAACATATATTTCTTCTGAACTGGTTTAATGCCTCGATTTTGTTCTCGATTTTTCGTTTGCAAGGTATTAGTTCATATACTCGTCTACAAAACAGTTAGTTTCAGTAACAATATGAAACACGAGCAGTTCATTAAAAAATAATTCAGAAAAGATAAATGGGTTTGAAACATCCGTTATATTTTTCTTTATTCCTGAAACCTACTACAAAACGTAAACGAAAACCTAGGACAGAATTAAAAAAAATACGTTTTACTTAAACAACACCAGCCAATACCGCGCAGTCATTACTTTCACCACTTTAGACACACCCCTCTCTCCAATTTCTCCCCACACTTCTGTGAAATAGTATCCTCCTTCGCATACATTGTCAAGGTCATTGTGGTGTTGCATTCCAAAGCTTTGCAAATAATTTTACGGGTAGCAGCGCATAGCAAATGATAGTATTTTAGAAGAGCGAATATATACGCCCGGGGCAGTTAACGCATCAGCTGAGCAAGGCGTATATATACGCCCTTTTCAGTTAAGGGGTTAAGTATTAAATTTCTGGATTGACATTTATTTCAAATACGTCTAACCTTCTAATAAGCTGAATTAACTGCTGAGTAATTTGCTTTTAACATAACCAAATTATGAAAAACATATTTTTCAAAGAAAACTTCGCTGGTGGAACAAACTTGAAAATAAATAGACTCTCTCCTTTATGTATTAAATTTTTTATCGATGCATACAGAAAAAATACAAATGATTGTATGTTAATAATTGTGCATTTCTCGATTTTTTACTACAGCAGATAGCATTTTGAGTTTGATGATATTTGCAGCCTTGGAGAAAAATTACTTCATCCTGGATTATAGATGATTATGGGTCAACCGGGCTGTTTTGTTAGACTTATTAATTTTCAACCAACTTGAGACTAACTCAAGGAAAGTAAAAGTACCAACTAATTGTGGGGCGGAGGAATGAACACACCAGAATATAAAAATTTTACCAACTTTTGGCTAGCGAATAATTTTATTGGTTATACCGATGTGCCACATTATGCATCTAATCATGTGTCCTGGCATGCAATCATACAAAGCATGTAATTTTTTTCATTTAACTAACATTGCATATCTATCCATTCTATTTCATTTTCATTTACTAGGAAATATACATATAAACATATTTTCTATATGTTTCTAATGTTTATTGATATTTTAAATTATCTTTATCTGAGATGCAATGATTAATGTCCTTTTCTCCCATAACTGCTTTTGTGGGTTCTTTTAGAGTGTTGTTATATATGCATTACATATGTACTTCTGGCTGTGTGCCAGCACTAGATTTGAACTCAATTGAAATGTAATTACTACTGAAATGTTTGCTAGTGCTTTTCTATTTATAAACACTGTATTGTGATCCACTGACCAATGAATTTATACTATATCAATATCTATAAGCATTGTATTATTAAAACAAATACATAATTGAAATGCATTGAAGGGCCATATAAAACAGCTTCGAGGGCCACATGCAGCCCATGGGCTGCCAGTTTGAGAGGACTGCTTTAGTGTATATAATGTATATTGTATTAAAATGGATATTAAATAACTTAGTGTGTACTCTATAAGTGTCAATTTTAAACAGTCTAAGATTTTAATGTTTATTTTATTGAAATATTGTATTTCCTCTCATATTTCTGTAGAGTATGTTCAAACTTTTTTTGCTTTGATTTTGGATTCCTTTAAATCAGTATTGTTTTTATTTACAGTCTAAACTATTGTGTGATAAATTATGTTTTTCAAATCTGAATATACTGTGCATTTTTTCTTCTTATTTTTTAGATTGGATATATTTCAGCATCATCAACATTGACAACCCATCCAAAACCAATGGAACATTCTCAGTTGAAAAACTTCAATGCTCTCATTCTAACGAGCTTAACCCAAACACCTTTAGCAAATCCAGATACTATGTTGGGAGAATTATGTGTTACTGTTGGTAATTATTTTATGGATGGATTTTATATGTAGATATTTATTTTAGTGTGACTTTTATAGAATATTTTTAAAAATAATTTTATCCATTTTTATTCTCTTTATATTTATATGTTTTTTTTTTTTTTTTTTTTTTTTTTTTTTTTTATTATTATCTGCACCTCCCTGAAAAGTATTCATGAAGCAACCCACCAAAATAGGCAATCCATAATGTCAGTAAATGTATGTATGTGGCAACACAGGTATGCAAGCACACGCAGCAGATGAGCATATAATCTCCACCTTCATATTTGGCAGCCAGTTTTTTTATTAGTGTATTAGGTATTTCCTCCCTATTTCCGCATGCCTTCACGGTGTAATGGTAGCACACATGGCATGTGTTCAAGAAGTCCAGATTTAAGTCCCAGCAAGGACATTTCTCATTTTTCATGTCTCCTGCTTCAAAAATCCTAATGACTCTACAATGGTGCCTGAACTAAAAAGTGGTGGATGATAATTCATCACCACCAGGATTTGACAATTGGATCTCCTAAGCTAGTAGTAAGCTCCCTTACTACTATGCTATTAACTAGTCCAGCAATTATGAAAATACTCTTCTGCTTGTTATTCTATAGAAGGTTCTTGCCAAAATGTTAATCCCTCCCCTCCAAAGTGCACAGAGATATCAGCCAATTCACATAATACTTTACAAAAACTAAACTGCTTATTGAGAATTGCAGTTATGTAAAACCAAAGTAAACATTTTATCACTGTGTTGTGTGCTTACATATTATTAACATTAAATTGCACTGTTTTGATGGCAGGTTTTTATTTATCAAACATGGTTGGTTGGAAAATATGTAAGCACTAACTTGTGTGTGTTCTTATACATGTTTGTATGTATCATACAGTGTGTCCCATAAATGTTGTGACAAATTTCTGTAGGAGGTAGGGCACATCATGAAGATTAAGAATTGCATAGGAACCCATACCCAAAAATGTCACTGTATACCGCCAGGTGGTGCTGTACAGAAGAATGCTAATGGAAAGTGAGGATAGCGTCATTTGAGGAGTAGGTACCATATGAAGAGCATGGAATGCTATAAGAATGGAGAGCTTATAGACATGCACTTTGGTGTGTGAAATAGCTGAGGGTAATGGGCAAGCCGCTGAACGCATTTATCCAGAACACTTTCCCGACAAACATCAAGCATACCACAGTTTGTTTGCACATCTGCATCAAAATTTGTGCGACTATGAGTCATTAAAAAGTTACAGATGTGCAGGACAAGTGATGGCAGGCTACGATTGACACCAAGCGAGTCGATCGTGAGAGGGAAGAAAGTGTGTTGGATGTGGTAGAGAGTAATCCAAGGACCAGCATATATGCCATTGCCTCTCAATTAAGAATGTCTCATACCAGTGTCCAGCGTGTCTTGAACGCTGAATCCTTCCATGCTTTTCGTCTCCAAAGGGTTCAGTTACTGCTCTCCAATGATCATCCTGAATGTGCATTTTGCACATTGGTTTCTGCAAGTCTTGAAGTGTTCATGATTTTAATTTCCCAGCTTATGCGTTGTTCACAGATGAGACTACATTCAATAGGGATGGCATATTGAATCACCACAATCAGCATTTGTGGGCTCAAACCCCCACAGTGTGTGCGCAGCAATGCTTCAAAGTTAATGCGGGGGCAGGTTTGGTCGGTGACTGATTAGTCGGGCCATACTTTTTATCATTCAGGTCGAATGCCATGAATTATCTAATATTTTTTGGGATATGTTCTAACCAGCTTGCTTGATGATGTTCTACCAAATGTGAGGCACAACATGATGGGGCACCTGCTCATTTTAAACTGGATATTCGTAGCCATTTGAAGAGATCATTCCCACATCGAAGGATTGGGCGTGGTGCAAAGGTTCCCTGGCCCCAGAATTCACTGGATTTATCAAGCCTTGATTTCTTTTTGTGGGGAGCCACCAAAAGTGTCATATATCATGATCCTGTTGTGTCTGAAATGGATCTTGTGGGAAGATTCGCCTGCACAGCTGCTACAGTCAAAGAAACTCCATGTGTGTTTGAATATGTCCATCATTCAATGTTCCGTTGGTGCCAGGCATGTTTGGCATCTGATGGTGCAAACTTCGAGCATCTGTTGTAACATTCAAGCTGCCGTACACCATTTGTATTCATGTCCAATAAATGTTTCAAATGAATCACTATCTTTTTTCCTTTCCCATGTTCTACTTCTGCTACCACTTACCCCTGACATTTCTGGGCATGAGTTCCTATTCATTTCTTAATCTGTATGATGTGCCTTACCTCCCCCAGCAGTTTGTCGCAACGTTTATGGGACATTCTGTATAATATTTGAATATCCATTGTACTCTGAATTCTGAAATAAGATTCCATTTTATGTTCATTAATTCTATTAAACTCATTGTTCTAATTCTATAATACTATTTTGGATTTAAAATTTGATTTAATGTATCTATAATTTAAAAATTTCATATTGTTATTAATAATTTATGAAGGCATAATGAATATATTTTATATTAAATATTGATTACTGTCAACAGTTTCATTGTTCAGTATTCATTATCATTTTAGCATTAACTGTTCGTAATGGAGGAAATGTTCTCATCCCATGCTATCCATCTGGTGTCACTTTTGATTTATTTGAGTGTTTATCTTTACATCTGGAATCTACTGGTAATCTGACAGTCCCTATGTTTTTTCTTTCACCTGTTGCTGAAAATTCTTTAGCTTACTCTAATATTTTAGCAGACTGGTAAGAATGTATTCTTCCTATTTTGTTTTAATTATTTATGTATTATATATGGCAAACAAAAATCAGTGTAGCTTATTTATACATGTATTAGGCTGAAGCTAAACAGCTTACTATTTGCAGTGAGTTATGGGTACATGATGACAGAAAAACAATGCCAATTTCTTTACTATTATTATTGTGTAATGTATATAGACTGAATGAAAATTTTGAGACTGCCTGTTTCTTTTTCTTGTGAAACAGCTGGATGTGACAATCTTGTACTGGATTTTACGAAGGTTATACATTAATGTGTTTGAATTTTTGAATCTGCAATTGGATAACTTTGAACTTCATTATGTGAGTGGAAATACTAATTATAGTTTGCAGTGTTGTGGCAAGTGAGGAAGATGTCACTGTGACTATACAGCTAAGATGTAACTTAATTTTTGTGTTAAACTTGGAAAGAGCTGTGCCAAAATATTGGAAATGTTAGACTTTGTGAACAGAGTTGAAACATTTACCCATGTATTAGTATGGAATTAGTGAAACTTTGAATTTAATTTAGAATGTGCTTTCAGCATCAGAATTTTTTCCTTCATGGTTCCATACAAATCATTTATAAGATGTTATGTAATAGTCATTGCTCACTGTCTGTCCATGGATCTGCAATTTTGACATCTATAACTGCAGTGGAAACCTGCAAGAACATGCTATTTTGATCCCTTCCATGTTATTGTTTTGAAGAGATAGAATTGATAGAATGACAACAAGCTTTAAGTAATCTATCACTTCTAGTTGGTTGTTTGCAAATAAAATCTAATTTGCTTATAAACTTTGTGGATTAATGTTAATTATAGACTCACTGCTCATTTTTTATTATTTGTTTTTAGTGCATTGGAGAATGATAATTATATGTGCTTATGTACACCTTGTGGGGGACAGTTATGTACCTCTCGCTTTATTGCACCAATTGTTGAAATTGAACTTGCATTTTCTATGTCTTGAAAGCACAACTTAGGATATATATTACATTTATATTTAGCATTGTTGTAACATGAGTATTTTGTCACAAAATCGGACTTTTTCTGAAGTAATATACCAGTTTTTTCCATACTTAGATTCTATGACTCAAATTATGCCTACATATTAAATTTATAATTTTTGGTGATAAATTTGTGTAGAAATTAAAAAATTTATCTTGGCGCATTTTTTTCAGTTTCTGCCAAGAACTTCAGCCACTTGGCAAACTTCATAATTTATAGCTACCTAGGATATTATCTCAGAAACTGCATTTCTATAAAAAAAACTTTCAGCAAATTTCAATACACTTCTGTAGCAGTTGTTCCTTGTTGGAATTCGTACAAAATACAGTGCTGTAAATGAACTTTATTGGTAGCCATTTTTACAGGATCACATCTCACTTAATAATGATATGAAACACTTTTGTAGTTAATCTAGAAGAGCACATGTGTATAAATGCAATGATAAAGAGAAACAGTCATATATATTTCAGGTTAACATATGCATGCATGTAGAAACCTGAAATAACAATATTGAACAGAATTTTCCTATAGACATTATATATTTATAAAATCTTTATTATGTATTATTTGTATTTTCTGGTTTTGAAATTAAATAATTTAGATCAGGGATAGTCAACCTGCTCCCTACTGCCCACTAATGCGCAGTTTAAGCTTTCACAATGTGCAATGCAGGTTTTTCTCTGCAAGTGACCAAGGAAGATCAAAACATGCATGGATGTAGATATATGCATGCTCATTTCAAGTTTAATTCTCTACTTGACTATTTCCTCTCATGCAATGCTGTCTTGTTTCATATATGTATTTATATGGCTTTGTTGTTTGTTAATGAATTTTCTGTCTATTAAAAGTTTAATATTGTAAATTTTAGTATAAATAAATGCATAAATTTAACTATATATTTTTTACTAAACGTCCACTTAAAAATTTCTGTGCAGTTGTGCTATATTAAGTTACTATGAATGGGTGGTGTGGTATAGAAATTTTACTGCCTACAAAAGTGGGCAATAGGTATAAAAAGGTTGACTACCCTTGAATTAGATTATGTATGATTTCTTTCTGATTTAAAATTAATAGTCAGGTTTTTTTAAAAAAAATAAGTAATTTAAATTTATTTAAGTTACTTATATTTACTCTAAACTTAGGACCTTCTTTTATATATCTCTTTATATTTTTTTCCCACCCATAGGCTTACACAGAGTAAGCAGTGTAAAGTTTATACTCCAGAAGAACCATTTCCTCATGCTCATTTGGTTAAAGGTGGAAGACTGAAAGCTTTTTCTAGTTTGAAAGGCAAGCTAAAGCATTCATTCTTAAAAAATATGTTCTTTTATTTAATTAATTATAGGTAATTTAATAATAATTTTTGTTGTCATTTGATGGAAAAATTTTAATTACTACATGAGGTAGCATAAAAGGCCTAGAATTAAGATCTGTGCTTGGAATAATAAGAATAGGCAAATTGCATTATGGGTATAAAGAATTGAAAGAATTCATGATATTGCACCTTACTGCTGTATTTCTTTTGCAACATCTTTTTGTTTTCTTTCTTATGTAATTTTGTTATAATTCAAAATGGACTCATTAAACAATGTAGTTTAAGTGTTGTTAATAACATTAGAATCATGTTCTAATGTTAAATCTTGAAAATTCTTCTGATCTCTTGTCAATTGATTTTTATATTTAACTGCATTCTTGAAACTCAAGATGCAACGAAATAATTTAGACATGTGGTAAATTTTTATCTTAAGGATTCCACATTTTGTACTTAGCTTTTGATTCAGTATAACTTTTTATTAAATGTAACTGTACGGACCATGAGACTGTATAAAAGTTTAGGCTTTATGCTTTTTACAAAAATTATTTTTTAAATTTGAAAATGCCATCATATGAGTATTTGCCTCATTTAAAAGAGTTTTGTAAATGGTAATATATGTATATGCTCAACAGTTGTGAAAATAAAGGCCAGGTCAGAACATGTTGTATAGAATAATATTTAACATATTCTTGGGTTAGTGTCATTTTTAGCCATTGTCTTTTCTTTTTTGGCTTTTATTAGTCAAGTAAATACTGTTTCAAAATTAGTTATATGATAGATTAACTATGTTAACTTTATTCACCCTGGGGTTACAAATACAGTACAAAACCCAAAATCCGGACTCATCAGCACTTCGGCGATTCTGGATTTGGGATTTTTCTGGATATTAGATCATCAATTTAAATCTGGTAAGATGGCATGCAGAAATTATACAATTAAAAATATGAAATTGTAGTTTATGAAATAAAGAGCAATTATGATCTAAAGGGTATAACATTTACACACACACACAAAAAAAAAAAAAAAGCTTAATATTTATTTGTTTACTGTATTAAACATTTCTTTCAATGTAAGTTGTTTAAGTTGCTTCATTTTTTGTGCTAATACTTTCTCTTTAATTCTATAAACAGACTTAATTTCTTGTTCAAAGTTCCTGTAATTGCTGTGTCGAGAATACAAAAAGTTTGCATTATAAAAAACTTCCCATCCCTTAATTTTGCCCAAATTGCTTCACCAAATTCCAAGAATTTTGTCTTCCCTAAATTCTGTCGTCCGGTGCCGACATATTCTGCCGCCACTTCTAGGTTTATGGTGAATAACATATCAGTTATTCTTAATTAAAATAGCACTAAATGTAATCTTTTGGCCTATGAGTTTCAATAACAAAATCTATTTTTAGCATATAAAAAGAAATTTTTGTTCAATTTTTCTCGTCAACATTTCTTAGAGCATTTAAAAATCTATAATCATCGCCAAGCATACTGTTAGCTTAAAAGGTTGCCATTCTTTTGTTATTCAATTACGAATATATAAAAAAAATTTAGACATCACTGCATGAGTTATGATGATGAAAGTAAAATATAATAAACTAACAGCTTCGCTGCCAGCCTTCGTCTGGCTTTTCAATGTACCTGAAAAATGGCTGAACGGAACACCTTAATACAAATATTAATTATCCTAATAAATAAATTAACCAACTTCCCTTTGCAAAATCTTAAGAACTCAAATGGTATAAAGGAGGTTAAGAACTTTGTTTCCTAAAAAAAATCACTCAAAACTTTTCAATATCTTAAAAACAGTGATATGAGCAATAAATAACATAAAAGAATACAAATAAAAAAATTCTGAAAAGCAAATTAATGATATTTTATCGTATATTTTCAAGAGAAAAAATTAGGTGCTACTTTGGTAGACGGTTGCATGGATTTTTGGCGATTTATATTGGCGCAATTGTTGGCACGGTTTTTCTTGAAAAAGACTGTTTTTACGTATTTTACACATATAGTAAAGTATTTAGAAAACTTTAAAAAAATAATATCGTTAAAAATAATGGATTTAATTTTTTGTTGAAAACGTTGTTTTTTTAAGATGGCTGGCAAATGTAAATATAAATACATTTACTAAGAGTATAAAATGCTAAAGTAAGGTTAAATTATTACTTTATTAATAGAATAAAAAACCCACTATAAAAACATAGCGCCAACATTTAATTGGATTAAAATATTACTTAAATTGAATATCGAATTAAAAACATCATACCAAGTTTAAAAATTAAAATATTGACTTAAATACTTTAAAATAAGTTTTATTAGGATTTATTATTTAACATTAAAACAATGTGCAATAAATATCGCAGGAATTTTAAAACATTGTATTAATTTTTAATAAAAGTTGAAGTATACAATTATAAAGTAAAAGAAAATTATGTACTTACATTTTTTTAAAGTATTTTACCTGTCATATATTGATAAGTACCACATTAAAAAAAAAAAAAAAAAGTCTTCTAACGGTCATCTTCTTGTTCCACATCTCTCGCACTTCATTTAAGAAGCAATTAGCGAGGTTTTCTCCAAAAATTTAAAATAAATTTCCTCTGAAGCTATTAACAATTTATAACTAAATCTTTTTAGGAAAACCGTTTGGCCAAAAATAAGGTCTCAAAGGGCAATTTTTTATTCCGATACATAGTTCTTGGTAATTCCAATAACAACATTCATCTCAAACAGACATATCCATTCCATTTGAATCTTGAGGAATTCGAAAGAGATGAATAAAAATTTTAAAATGGCGGAATGTACAAGTTCAGTAACCAATCAGGGAGCTGATATATCACGTAGAATTTCAATTATTTAAATAATCATTCATAATAAATAATTTTTAAAACAAATGAAAATTAAATTGTATTTAATATTTAACCATAAATAAGTTTAAAACATTAAATTTATAGTATTAATAAAAGGAATTACTTTAAAAGTAAGGTGACGTCATTGATTACACCATCCACAACATAAAATTATATAAAATATCGTAAACAATAAAGCTTTTATTTCAAATCAAAATGCAAAATTAACTGATTTTTAATATTTATAAACCATAAATAATATTTAGAACATGTAATTTATGCATAATGTAATTAAACGCATTCTTTTTAAATAGAATGACAGTAAAGTATCGGTATAAATAACTTATCCAGCAATGGTTTACATAGTCAATACTCAAAATAAAAATCACCAAATCCGTGCAACCGTCTACAAAGTAGCACCAAAATTATAATAAATAAGCTATACCCTTAATACAAATCTAAATTCTCTCAAAAAATAAGAACTAAAAACAAAAAATTCCTGACAATTTTACTCTGCAGAACACTTTATAAAAAAACATCAATAAAATATATATATAATAAAAAATGGAATGAAATATGCAATCTCTTAAAAACAGTGACATAATATGAGAAAAATTTTCCAACCCATATTCAAAAGAATGAAACTATTAAAATGATGCGATTCATCAAAATCTTCAAAAACATAAAAAGGAAAATTGTTGCCAAAATCAATTTTAAAGATGTGAGAGTAGAATGTTATCGGAAGCTATTAAAAAAAATTAAAAGTACAAAATTATCATTTTTCTCAAATTCTTTTGTAAAACAGTTGCATGATGAAAGTTAACGTGTCCAAAGCAAGAAAAATAACTGTACATTTTAAAAATAAACTTTCAGAAACTATCCATTGACAAGTGTTAAAAGCTCAATTTGTTAAATAAATCGTATTTAATCGATTTATTGAACCGAATTTATTTAAGTTCGTAATGCTAATGCTACATTTATGACGATGTGAACATGGGTGCGTAAGTAAAACTGTTTTCTATAGCCCATTATATCTCAAAATGACGCGATTTCGTCACAAAACATAATATTAAAAAAATTCTAATTTGATTTGAAAATTCGCTTTGAGGTCACTGCTCTTGTCTCGAGACACCTATGTACCAATTTCGTAGCCTGGGTCTTAGCTTACGTGCTGCGCTAACGATGAACAACACACACAGACTCTTGTTTGTTATAGTAGAGATAATGCTCCTCAGCTTGGCATCGGGATATAAAATAGTGAATGTTTCAGTTGAGATTATGCAAGCAGACGCTCAGCTACGGGGCCAATTAGTATCTCACAAATTTCTGCTTACATGATTTTTTTCCATAACTAGATTTCTTTAGTGCCTAAGTGAAATTAAGATTCGGAATTTTTAAGAGAAAATCACCACATGTTTTATTATGGAAGGAAAAATCATATGCGCATGCGTAAAGCGTACAAAAAAATTTTTTTTGTGCCTTTGAGGTCCGGATTTTAGATTATTCCGGATAATGGACGTCCGGATTTCAGACTTTGTACTATATTGATATTTTCCTTTTTGTATGTGATATGTAAAGTGTTAAATCCTTAAATTTATAAAAATTTCAGATGAAGCATTTAGCCAGGAATTTCGCACTCCATGTGTTGTATTTGCTGGACATCCTTCACTGCGTTTTGGTGATTGTGTGCATTTTATGGAACTGTGGGGAAATAGTCCAAATAATGTTATTGTATTCACTGGTATGTATCCAAATGCATAATTTTGATTTTTCATATTCTTTAGTGAGATTATTGAAAAATCAATATTATATAATTTTTAAACTTTTTGTATTAGCATCTTATTTTCCGAAGGTTTTTTTAACACTTTCAATTTAAAGTATGTATTTAGGGGTTTCCTTTTCATATCTTGTTTCAGTTATTAAATATTATATTCGAGTGCTGTTTAATATGTTTGTAAAATTCTACTTCAAGTTTAGACCTGAAATGAAAGCATAAAAAGTAACATTAATTAATTAGTAATCATTTGGTAACAGTAAATGATTATTGATTTTGGTAATTAATAATTTTTTTCTCGAAAATTTTTTAACACTTTATACTATAAACGAATTTCAGTCATCATAAACATTATTTTAAAACAGTAGATTTTATAGCTAAGCTGAGGTTACTGTTTATTTCTTAGAATATTTAAAGAAGGCCCATTGCTGTGAGCCATTCCTGTGAATTCATTGATTATTGATAATTTTACTTTGCTTTCAATTTTTGGCAGAGTGAACTAGCTATGCCCAAGTTTTCACAGTGTTTCTGATATTAAATAGAAATACAGATTAAGTTTTTTTTAGATAGCTTCAGAGGAAGCTCTCCCAAGACAAGGAGGCAGGGTTATTTTTATCTATGTATATACTGCCAAGTAAAATTTTAAGTGTAGTATATTTGATGTCTTCATAGCTAATGAAAGTTTTTAATTTTAAGACTCTGTGTCTGCTTGATAGATTGTGTCATTGCTTGTTATTAAACTAACATTCATAATGACATTTTTGAAACATTCTGGTACTTCTTTATTATTATGATCTCCATTATTTAAATGAGTCTTGTTAATGGACTGTACCAAAGCAGCGGTCCTAACCTTGTCATCACTTATAGTCTACCACTTATAAGAAGAGCTGTGAATAGGGTTTCCTTTTAGGCACAGTGCATTAATAAAAAGGCTGTTAGTGCAATTTAACTGAGAAAGACCATTATAGTAAAGAAGTATCACAATTCCTGTAATAAAATGATAAAAATAGTAGCAAAAAAGTTGAAACAGTGCAATTCTAGATTAAGTATACAAGATACATTCAGAAAAAAGCTTTAATCTGTTTTAAAGGAATTGAGAGTTTCAGAACTTGAGACTCTGTTGAGTACTTCCCCATCAAAAGATTGATTACTTTTTAACAGACCTCATATGCTTTGTGGCATTTTTTGATTTATGTAATTGATTATATGGTTTTATATTATGCAGTGTTGGAAAAGCTAGCAAGATTGCTAATTTGTAGTAGATACATGATTCCAGTTTAAGAAATAAATCAAATACTATATAGGTATTTGGACAACCATTTTGGTTAAGATATAGCTTTAGGACCACCATTTGGTTAAATGATATCTTTTAGTAATTTCATTTGGACCACCATTTGGCTAATTGAGTAATTTAGTAATTTCATTTTGGACCACCATAGGGTTTAGTGATATTTTTTAGTAAATTCTTAGCAAAATTTGTATATGGGCCCTCTACAGTGAACATTCTTAGTAAGTTTTTTCCCTTCAGGTGTTTTTCATATATGTTAAGATTCTGTAATGTACAAAATCGGCCCTGTGGAAAAAAGAATCAAAATTATATGCGATCTATAGAATAATATAAATCTTATTATGATCTATATTATATAGGATGTTATAATTATATGGTCTTCTGTTTGTCATCATTTTGAAAGTTCCTTTGAAGAAAAAGTAAAAATACATTTTCTATCTTTTTTGTTTCTTTTATATCAGTACTTCTCTGGATGACTGTTAAGCCACTGGTTTGGTAGCATATAAATTATTTATTATATTTATGAAAGTAAATAACTTCTAAATGCAATATGTGTTATTACACCTTTTTAAAATTTTTGCTGTAGAGAGTCTTATGTATCTTTCGAACATTTCAGTATGCTTGAATTTATTTATATGTTCTCATATTTATAGAACCAGATTTTCCTCATCTGGAAGCTCTTGCACCTTATCAACCTCTTGCAATGAAAGTGAGTATTTGAAATAATTCTAAACTTTACTGTTAAATATTTTGGAATTTTACCAGTGTATTTTGCCTTTAACCCTAAATTACCATTTAAGATTGTTAATGTCCATCCATTTTATCCAAAATTTTGAAACACAAATTTCTAGTTGCAGCCACTGCACAAATCATTCAGTTTCTGTGTTTAATTACTTGCACTAATTCTTCTTTGGAGAGCATATAATATCTCTTGAAGAATAAACATGCATTAAAAAAAGATTGATAAAAGTACCACAGGTATTTTGGTAGCATTTTTGGTACTTTTTTATAGGTATCCATTGAACTTATAGAAATTACTCATCTAAGCATCTAAGGCCAAGGAAACTGGAACAAAAATTTATCATTAGGGGCACTGTATGATTTATATGTGGAGTAGCAATTTAAAAGAATAGTTTTTAAAGAATAGTTTTGTTGGCTGGTTCACTTTCTCAAAGATAATATTAATATAGACTCATTCTCTAAAATGGACTGTAAATAAAACTGGCACTCAATGTAAAGACATTCATTTATTAAACCTACTCCATCTCGTACTGTTGTCGACTGTCTCACCAGTAACAATTTTTTCTCACTGCGGGCCGCTGTGCTCGCAGGCGCAAATATACCGCCCGGTGACATGGTTACATTCAATAATTTAAAATTTTCACAAGTATAGCATTACAACACAATCTAATTACAATATAAGAACATAAATCTTATGGATATACATCTTGTAATTACTTTAATTTTACTCATTTAGTAAAGGTAAACAAATTTTAGAAATTGGCCTTGTAAAAGTTCTATTTTTTGTTTTTATTTTTACGACTCTTACTTTTATTATCTTTACCTGCTACCGTTTCTATAATTCTACCTAGTGGCCAAGTACAAACAGGTGTATTATCTTCTCGTAGAATGACCATAGTACCAACTTCTACATTATTTTTTTCATAATACCATTTATTTCTTTATTGAAGTGTACTTAAATAATTGTTTAACCAACATTTCCAGATGGACTGAATTACTTTCATTAATTTTTTTCAGTTGTTTAACATGTTATCATTTGCATTTAAAATGCTGGGTCCTACTAATTATAATTATTGGTCTTCAATCAAAAAATGACCAGGCTCAAGATGTAAAGTCATATCAGCTGACATAATACGTGGGTGTGAATTAAGTATCCCCTCAATTTGAGTAATTATAGTTAGAAATTCCTCCAATGTTAATTTTAAATTTCCCATCACACATTTGAGATGATCTTTGACGGACTTGACGGCTGCCTCTCAGAGCCCTCCATGATTAGGAGCACGTGAAGGAATGAAAGTCCAATCAATGCCCTCGATGGATAAATAATTACCCAACTTCTCATCTGATTTGTTGATCAACTTGTTCAGTTTTTTCAAATTACTTCCAACAAAATTTCTTATGTTGTTGGAAAAGATATGTGCACACTTACCTCTTCTGCTAACAAATCTTTTTAATGCTGCGATAAAGGCCTCACTAGAGAGGTTTGTATCAATCTCCAAATGACAAGCCTTTGTTACAAAACAAACAAAAATGCATAAATATATTTTATCAAGAACTCTTTTCCTGTGATTTTTGTACTTTATCATAAATGGCCCGCAAAAATCAACTCCTACAAAATTGAATGGGAATTTTGGTGTAACTCTTTCTTGTGGTAAATGGGCCATGAGCTGCTGACTAGGGACTGGTTTTGCTTTAAAGCAAATCACACAGTCACGGACTAATTTCCTACAAAGATTACGAGCACTTAAAGGCCAAAATTTTTGTCTAATATTACACAGTAATCCTCGAGGTCCAATGTGCATGTATTTTTTATGGGTCATCTCTGCTATTAATATCGTTAATCTATGAATTTTTGGCAATATTATAGGAAATTTTCTTCATCTATGGATCATCTCTGCTATTAAGATCGTTAATCTATGATTTTTCGGCAATATTATAGGAAATTTTCTTTCAAAGTTATACTTATTATTGGCTAGTCTTCCGCCTACTCACAAAATATTTTTCTTATATAAAAAGGGATACAAACTTTTTAAATTACTATTCGGAACCACTTTACCATTTTTCTGGAGGCTAGCTAATTCTTTTTTAAACTCTTCTTCTTGAACGATTTGGGTTAGTTTTAATTCCGCATGTTTAATTTCCTCACTGCTAAGAGGATCGCTAATCTTGTTCTTAGCCTTGTAATTATTGTAGAACCTGTAAATAAAGCTTAAAATATGCGAAAGTTTAATATAGTTATTACTCAAATTTAAGAATTCACTTAGGAAATAATTTACTTTTATATTAAGTGAAATTTTAGAGTCATTAAGAAATCACTTTACATGGATACTCATCCTTTATCAGGAAACGAGGACCTTTCCACCATAATTCACTTTGGACAAGCTTGATTGAGTCAAGTCCCCTGGAGATAATATCAGCCAGATTTTCACCGGATGGAAAGTGCCGTCGCTGTTGCACATCTGTCATTGAACCACCCCAATTCGATTAGCAACAAACGTTTTCATGCAGCAGGGCTCCTTTTGCAGCCAAGACAAGACTATCAAAAAGTCACTCCAGAAAAATACATTATTCGCATTAAGTTTCAGAGCAGATACTACTCAAGTCATTAACTTCGCAAGCAATACAGCTGCGTATAACTCTAATCTTGGTATGGTAACTTGCTTTATAGGAGAAACTCTTGATTTACTTGTTACAAGCCTTATTACTACTTCACCATATTGGGAGACGGATTTACAATAAACTACAGCTCCATAAGTTAACTCGGAGGCGTCACAAAATCCATATAACTCAATAGCAATTGCTTCTGTAACAAGAATGCATCTGTTAATTTCTAATTTACAAATATGTGGCAGTTCAGAGAAAAACCGTTGCCATTCTTTGGCTTCTTTGTCAGGTAAAAAGCTCGTCCCAATTGAGCTTCAAAAACCATAGTCTCTGAAGAAATATTTTAGCTTTCGCAGAGTTGCCAACTCTCCCGATTTAGGCGGGAGACTCCCGATTTTCGACCGCTCTCCCGCCAACCCGATTTACAATATATTTCTCCCGACTTTTTCTTTCTTCTTTTTTCTCAACGGATTTTTTTAGGACTGGCTTGATACTTCATTATAACAAAAAAAAAAAAAAAGTGATTTGGACTTCTGAAAGCACTGAATTTTCTCTAGATTATATCAAAATAAAACTTGCGAATCAGATGAGAATTTGCTTTGTGAGTGACAGCATACGTTATCCAGAAACGTCTTCTCCAATAGGCACGAGCTCCACTGCGTGTCATCTGGCATATATTAGCCAATGAGCACAAAGCAAGCTGAAGGCCGTTGGCCGTTATTTGGATGTTCTTTCACTATTCGTTCATCTGTCCTGATTGTGTGTACAAACACTGCCTTGGGAAATGTTTCAGAAATATTGCTTTTGTTATGTCGACAGGCTTTAATATAGCACAGCTCAAATGCAGTCCCTCTGGATAATTCCTTAGCACTTGGTGCCGATAATGCACCAGTAATGGTAGGCTTGAAGACTGGTGTTGCAGGCATCTTAAGAAAGGCAAATTCATATTTGCAGATTATAGTGCACCTGTCACCTCTTAAATTTAGCAGCTGAAAAAGGGGCAGCTTCTTTACCATTAAATGTGGATGAACACATTGTTGATATTTATTATTATCTTGAAAGGAGTTCTAAAAAGAAAGGAAAAATTGAAAGTTCCAACAGCTGCATAATACTGAAATAAGAAAAATTTTTGAAACGTGTGTACACGCTGGCTTCTTTAAAGAAATGCTTATCTAGAATCCTCGATCATTGGAACCCACTTCTTGAATTTTTAAAGAAGAAGTAAATGCTTCAAGAGTTAATATAAAAGGCTCTATTGAAAGTTAATAAAGCACCTAAAGTAAATGGAGATGTAGTTACTACTTCCTTGTTAAAAATAGGTTTGAGAAAAATAAAGTAATTTCTGCATCATTCAGCAATTCAACTGGCAGTTCTCAATATAATACTGCAAAATATAAGCGTAAAGCTGATACAAATTTCTCTCAAAATAAAAAAATTGCTCAACACACGAAACATTTTCGATTATTGTAAGTTTATCTTGTGAAGAACGAATATTTATGTTTTTTTCTTCAGACCTTAACAAAGCTTTTTGCTTTTTTTTACAATTCATGTTCTTAACGCAATTCTACAAAGCAGAATTCCGTTAATTCATGTTTTGCAATCAATGATTTATGATCTGTTTTTAAAGACATTTTTATCAAAGTTTGTAAAAAGCAGTCTGTGTTTGTCTTGTAAATTCTATATATGATGTGATTTATGGTGAAACAGAAAATCAGAAGAAAAGAGATTTGGTAAATAGGAGCTGCAACTACAAAAGTAGTGGAAGAACTTTCAGAAGAAGACAAAAGAAGTTTTATCTTCATGTTAGAAGTTACTTCTGTCGAGTACGTGATTACATACTACATAAATTTCCTGTCAACGTGAAGTGATTTTGCATGCTAAAGTTGCTGATGTTTCTGCTCTAGCAAAATGCACTTTTTCTGATATAAGGTTACTTTTTGAACAGATTTCCTGTGTTACTTCATTTAGTCCGTGAAAGAAAGATGACGATATTGATGTTGCTACTGATATACTGCAGTCGCAATTTTTGCAGTTTACAATTAGAAAACTTGGATGAAGTTATAAAATCAGCTAGGATTGACATCCAGTGGAGTTTAATTGGAAAATTGAAAGGTGCTGATGGAATTTTAAAATATAGTGAAACTCTCTAGAATATGTTGGCCATCTTGACAGTTCCCCATAGTAATGCGAGTGTGAGAAGGAATTTTCAGTGTTGTTGCGAAACGAGTACTAATTTTAGATCTAATTTTAGTGATGACACATTAGAAAAACTTTTTATTAGCGAAAGCAGGCCTACGTGGCAATTGCTATGAACAAAATTATAAAGTTTCTTTCTTAACGAAAGCAAAATCTGCCACTGTCCATACTTTGTTAAAACTGATTGTAGTTTTTTTTTTTTTTTTTTAACGCTGCAAGTATAAAATGTTTTTTGTCTAAGGTATTTTTGTTTTGCTTGCATTTAAGACTTAGTAACTATTTAAAGTTAATTCATTATTAAAAACTATATTTTTATCATTTAAAAAGTATTTTTAACATTGTGAAAAATCTCCTGATTTCTTAAAAAAATCTCCTGATTTTTTAGTGTCATAGGTTGGCAAGTATGCTTTCGCTATCATGGGACCCAATAAACCAAGTGGGTCAAAGATTCTCGCTAATGTCAACAGAACTTGCCTTTTAGCAATTCCACACTCATTTTCTAGTTTCACTTTAAAAATAAAACAATCTTTATCTGCTTACCAGGAAACACCAAGAGCTGAAACTTCATTCGCACACTGAAATGTGTATTCATCATCAACATTAACTGCAAGCTCAGGATTGTTGCTACACCATTTGTGCATAGTTGCACTTTTTAAAATTTCAATTAATTCATGCTGTAGCTTTTTTGCCAAACTCAATGCTTTGAAACTGGACCCTGTTAGCACATCATCCATGTAAAAATCCCTCTGTAGAACTGCAGCTGCTAATGGAAAATTTGTGAACTCGTCTATAGCAAGCTGATGTAATGTTCTCATGGCTAAAAAAGGTGCACTTACTGTGCCATAGGTGACCGTGTTCAACACAAAAGTTTAAACTGGACCATTAATTGACTCTTTCCACAAAATTCTCTGTAGCTGCCATTGAGTAGGATGAATCGATATCATTCGGTATATCTTTCTGATATCCACTGTAAAAGCATAAATATGTTTTCGAAAACGTACCATAATTGAAAACAAGTCCTCTTGAATTGCACCGCCATTACACTGAATTGAATTTTGCGAATTACCTTTTGATGTTGCATTCGAAGCATTGAACACTACTCTCAAAGCTATCGAACTTTTCTCAGGGCAATAAATCCCAAGGTGTCGAATATAATATGTCCCCTTTTGCTCATCTTCATCCTTCACGTCATTCATTTGACCTTGTTCAGTCTAGTTCAGTATATTCATGTAGAAAATCTGAGTACAATAAAAAGTAATTTTCATCTTTACTTAAATGAGTCCACAACGAGTTCAACCTTTTAAACACGATTTGTTTCGAATTCCCTAAACACATTGCATCTTCCCTAAATGGCATTTTAACTACGTATTTCCCATTCTCTTCACGGGTATAGTTGTTTTTAAAATGTTCTTCGCAGAATTCCGATTCTTTATTTCCCGTTTTTGCAGCCTCATTTTTTTCGAGTTCCCAAAATTGCGTTAGTGTTTTATCTAAATTTGTTTCTTCTTTTATCATACCACAAAGAACCCCATTCTCTTTTTCTGTTACATAACTCCCAGATGCAAAAAATCCAAACACACTGTTTGCAGAATGATGTTAGAATTATCAAATCGAATTTGACCTGGTTGTAGCAACTCTAAATATACCTCTGCACCAAGCAAACAGTCAATACGTTCGGGAATATTAAACTTGTCATCTGCTAACTTTATATGTCCAAAATTGTCAAGAGAAATGTTTACTTTCTGTGAGAGTATAAAGTCTGTCTTTATTTTCGGAATTACCAAGAAATATATATTTTTAATATAACTCTTATTTTTGTTATGAATATTCGCATTAACTTTTGTTTTATTCTTAGAGATGAAGCATTTAAACCGCAAACTACTATATCTACTTTTTCCTTTTTTAATTGCATGGTATCTAAGATTTCTTTACTTAATAGACAGGATTCACTTCCCCCATCCAAAAGGCATCGTAATTTATATTCATTTCTGTTTGTGTCTGTCAAAATACAAATCGCAGTACTCAGTAACACTTTATTTTTCTTTTTATTCGAATGATTACTCAATAAGGTCAAGCTTTGCACAAACTCTTGGGCTTCTATATTAGAAAACTTACGATCTTCACACACCGGGGTTGTTGATGGCCGTAAACTTTGAGCAGCATTTGCTGACTCACTTTTAATTCCTAGTTCATTTTTTCTGCATGGGTTATGATTTACATTTGAATTTCGGTTTGGAAAATGCAATTTATCATGCCTCTTTTTGCAGAAACAAAACATTTTTGAAGAGCACTTTAATATAAAGTGTTTATTAGACATGCAGATAAAGTGCATATTATTATTTTTAACTACTTCCACTCTATCATTCACTGATAATTTTAAATAATTTGGACATTTAGGTAAATGGTGATATTCAGTTTCACATAACACACAATTAGAGGAAATATTTGAAAGAAATACTTTCGAAACATTTTTTCTCACCAGAGTGCTGCGCTCGCACGCATGAACAGTTGTATATGATTATAACTAATTTTGTTTCTTCTTAATGCATTTTTGAGCTATAGTACTGTTCAACATGCTGCTGTTGTTGATAGCCAGAAACTGCATTAAGGAAAACACTGTATATTTAAAGACACTAATTGGGACCCATGTAACACATGTGTTATCTTATATTACTGTTATGATCTCAGTAAAACCATGCTGTGTGAGAGATTTCTACAAATTTTTTGTTATTTATTGTGCTTTTCCCCTCTTCTTTGATTATTCATAACATTTTACCCTTTTTCTGTTGTATAGTCATTGCTGTAATCCCAGTAATTCTTGAAGTAATATAGAAAAACCTTGCATGAAGGAACAGGAACTTAATTTTTCTTTCAAAATCACGTTAATTTGTTTGGTCTCCCATTGTATATAAAAGATGCTCAAGGGGAAAATATAATTGAGTGCTTATTCTGATTATTTGAACCTGCATTCCTGACAACTTTGGAGAGCATTAATAAATCCATTACTGGAGAGAAATGTTTGTTTGGGTACCTTTATTTCAATTTCAATGATACTTCAAGTGCAGCCTATTTTTTATGCTCTTCTTTTACTATAGAAGACACACACACTACTCGAAGAAAATTTTATGTCGATAGTAGTGTTTGAGGATAATCTTAGTGATTTTCTATAGAATTTTACTGCCTATTCCTTTGTCCAACAATAAATAAAGCAAACAGCTATTGTGAATGAGATATGGCTGTCTTCAAACCAGTTTCCTGCTTACATTCTAAAACCATGCTTACAATTTTTCATGTTGCATTTCTATAAAATTTGGTTGTTAAAAAATTGCAGCTTCATAGAAACACCATTTTTCTTCAGCCAGCAAACTCCCTAGTCCCACTGATTTGTTATTGAAAAAAAGCGTACTCAATACAAAAAGAAATACTAATTAGAAAATTGACCATTAAATTAGAAAAAATGAAATCTGCTTGGGCTATGTGCATTCCGTGAGTTGCTGCATATAAATACTTTTTGTATTAGACTTAGTGTTGACCAGATGCTTCAGCTTGATTATATTAGAGAAACATATTTTAGCTTAATGCCATAGGTTATGTTAAGAATAAGTCCTGGATTAAACCAGTTTTAGTATTGTTGCAAAAAATGTATAGTTCTAATAACTTTTGTCATCTGCTATGAAAATAACATTTTCTATCTTTCCCTCTCTCTCCCTCTTTTTTAGGACTACCATTATTACTTGTAACTAAAAAGCTTTTACTACTATCAGCACAACATTTTTAGGATGTATTCATCACAGCAGAAAACACACCATAGCTTAAAAAGGCAAAGTTGTAGGCTGTTTCACAAGAATTCAACAAACAATTCATTAAACTGATTATATTATTCTTCAGTGTGCTATCTATAAGGTGAGCATTGTGTCTGTTAGAAAGCATCCAAGAGACAAAATTAACTAGCACATCCTACATGCGAAGAATATTAAATTTCACATCTCAAAACCTGCACTGGTATGTGCCTTCATTTCAGGCACTTTCCATATTCTTACAAGATATGCTCCATTGGTTTTTTGTAAATGTTCTCTAAATAAAAAATGTCTTGAGCACCATATGCTAGTGGCAGATATTTCAAAACCTAGAAATGTTGGATGTTATCCATTGCAACAAGTTTTCTAAAACCTACTAAATAACATGATTATTTTCAAAAGATAATCACTTAGATTATTTACGACATTATGTAACTATTATGCATTCAAGAATAAATGAAGAATGTTCCCTTTTACAACAATAATTTTGCATTTTCAAATTCTTTCTGTAATTATGATTTCCTATTTGGAATAATTAAGCATATGCATTTTAGTTTTGTATAATGTAAATGAAATTACTTATTTTTCAGGTTGTGTATTTTCCCATTGATACTAGTTTGAGTTTTAATCAGGCAAATAAGCTGATTCGAGAATTAAAACCCAGTCATCTTTTATTGCCAGAACAATATACTGTTCCATCACCCTCTTATCGGCATAGACCTGACCAGAGCCTCTCTGTTGAAGCTGTAAGTGTTTTTAATGTATGATTGTGTTTTTTCAGTAGGATATTAACATTAATTGATGTCATGTGTTCTTTATTATTTATGCTAGTGACTGCTGACTGGTAACCCATGGACCATATGCAGTCCATGAATTCCTATTTTGTGTTGCACAGTAAGGATAAATAACTAAATAAATATATATATATATATATTACTATTACTATTTTCTAGTAAATGCATAATTTGATGGCATAAATGTAAAAACTAGTGAATTTATTGCTTTCTATGAGCATATGTGCAGACTAAAAACATATATATTAAAAGATATATGCATATTCAAAACAGCATTCTGAATTTCTCATATGTGTAATCTTACTGTTAGTTTTATTTGTAATGATGTTGTTTTGTATAATGTTGTAATATTTCAAAACTTAAACTTTTGCTGTAATGCAGAAGAATTTTTATATAAAATATTTATATTAATTAATTAATCCTGTTAATATTATTTTTCCTCCCTTTCATTCAGGATTGTAATCTTATTCCTTTTAAGCGTGGGGATATTGTTAAATTACCTATTAAGCGAAAATGGGAACAGATGAACATGGATTCTGAAGTAAGTATTTTGTTTTGTAATTGACTTTGTTATCCACTTTGTATATACTATCCACCATTTGCACTTTGCATATGTTATCCACTTTGCAATACCTTCGCATATAAAATGCATATTAGTTGAAAAATTTATATATTATTTTATTTTAAGTGTTATATAGCTGAAAAATAAATACAGAATATTCTTTTCTGTGGTATTAAATACATTGGTTTCCAAAAGGTATGCATGTATGTTGAACGAAACTTGGTGATAATATTTATTATACTGATTTTAACTTAAAAACACAAGACTATGTTATATAGTATAATTACATTTTGTGATATCAACAGCAACATTAATATCTCCTAAATTTGAACATGCATATTAAATACGAAAAAAAAAAAATTCAGTGTGAGTAGAATGATTCCAAACAGCAATATGCCAGACAGTGATGGATGCTTTTAATGAACTGCATCTCTAGCAATGCCCAATTGGTCTTGTAAATCAATTTTAAACCCATATATGGTTTGGGGAGGGGGTTCGAAGCATTCTTTTCCTCTCAAGAGTGTTGTACACATGCTTAATGGGATTAAGGTCAGGAGACTCAGCTGCCCATTCCATTTGGACTATAGTTTTTTCAAGCAACAGGAAGATGGCCATATTATTTGCTTGCAAGATGAAGTTATCATCAATTGTGGCAGCATGCAGATGGACAATAGGATCAAATATGTCATCTCTGTACCTCTGAGCATTGAAAGTTCCATATGGCAGCACTGACTGGTCTGTAAATAATCTGTCCCACCTAAAAATACTCTTTTCTCATGCAAAAACGTTACCTCCTGTATAGGTATCCCTTTCCCATATGCTAGATGGAAGATATCAAGTGTTTGCTTCTCTTCATATATGAACACGTTGAGAATCACTCTGTTAAGCAAGTGGGATTCATCAGTAAACAGACCTCTTTTCATGCAGCCATCTGTGTACTGTCATGGTTGACACTGTCCTTCCTGTAGCAGAAATAAGCACAGATCTAAGCTGGGATGGAGTTGCATTTATGTTGTAGGATGCACTAAGTTGCAAATAACATTCATCTGCAGAAGTAGTAACTCTTAGACTACCTTTGGTAGGTTTGCGAGAGGCTGGCCCAATAATTAGAAATTGGTTCCATAATTGGCTTACCTTGGAATGGATGACATTTAGCAATCTTGCAACATCAAATTATTGTTGACCTGCTCCTAATTGGCTAATGGTAAGTGTCACCTCATTTTTACACTTTGGCTGTCTCAGAAATCTTTAATATACCATTGTTCACTGAATAGCGATTCCCTCTAAATTGCTTGTTTTAAGCTGTATGATATGTGTGTAAAGCATTGGCAAAACCACATTTTTTTAAATAATGCTATTCAGGGCAATTTGCATTTATTTGTAACGTATCCAAATTAAAAAAAAAAAAAAAAAAAGAAGAACTATTTTTAGCCGATTTGTTGCTTAATTTTTGAAAATCAGTGCTGTATTTCAATTCTGCCCTTGCATAACAATTTAACTAGGAGCTTCATCAGGTTCAGTTTCTGGCATACATATCCCATTATATGCTGTAAATATAAATAATTTTCTTGCATGGAACCCATAATTAGAACATAAATAGACAAAGTGGTATTTTGTTACACTAAAAAAAAAAAAAAAAAAAAAAAAAAAAAATCAAAACTCGGTAAATTTTTGTGATTTTTATTTGAAAGCAGGAACTGAAATTCTTTGACATGATCAGATAGATGAAAAATAATGGATTTGACATTAGAATTATCTCAGTTTGACACCACAAAATGGATGTTAATAGGTTTTAGTAGTATTAAGCCTTCGATTTTTACTTCCTTGTACGAAGTAAAAAGGAAGTAAGAAGAGGGAAGAAATCACGAAAAGTTTCAGGCAGCATATTTCAACGAAAATATCCATTTTGACTGCTATCGAATGCAATTTAATGTTTTTGCATGCCATCTGTACGGAAGGACAGAATAAAAGACTCTTTTCTTCCAAAAAATTGTTAAAACTACTTTAAAATGAATTCTGAACAGATTTTTTCATGGTGTCTGTGCGTACGTACGTATGTGTCTTGCATAACTCAAAAACGAGTAGCCTCAGAACGTTGAAATTTTTTATATAGGACTGTTATAACATGCAGATGTGCACCTCGTATTTTGGTTGCGATCAGCTGCACCGTATTATATATATATATATAAATGAATTTAATTAAAAATAATTAAAATAAATTTAAATACAAATTTAATTAATTCTTGTGCCATTGCTGCAAGGAATTTAATTTAACAAATTAAATTTAAATTTTAACAAACATGTATAAAAGTAAAAAAAGCAAATTTAAAGCCAAAATTAAAAAAAAGCAAATTTAAAAAAAAAAAAAATTTTAAAAAATATAATATATATATATTAAAAAAATGTGTAAACATAAAAAAAGATTTAATTCTCGAACTAATCTACAATATCATTTAAATTCAGAAGCATAAGCAAATCAAGTGCAAAACCAATCCATGAAAATAAATTCACTAATTTAGCAAATTAAAATTAATCCAAACAATTTTTTTAAAAAAAATGCATAAGTGAATGACTGTTGAGCAGGCAGGAGACAGACTTATCAAGGGGAAGTTGCCTCCAAACCTAACTCTCCAATCATTCAATTCGTGTTTCGTCATTCATGCAGGCAAGGGTAAAAGTCAAAACCAAAAGTAAAAAGTGAAGAATGTCCAAAAAGAAATACCAATAAAGTGGTACCCTTAGAAATTAGCATTTAAGAATTAAAGTTTTAAAAGGAAAATACTAATGAAGTCTTTTGAGAAACAAGTAAAGTCAAGTATTAAATTAAACTTTTTTTTAAAAAATTAAATTTTTTAAAAAAACTAATTTTTTATAAAAAATAATCTAGAAACTAATGTATTTTAGAAACCCTTGTCTACAGAAACCTCCCCGACACGAATATGCATATCAATAAAAAGAACTAGACATAATCCATATAAACCAATAAGAAACATAAAGAACTAATTCACAATTTTTAAAAAACAAATATATACTTAAAAATATAATTTCATATCTAGAAAATACTTAAATACTACATAAAAAATTTTAAAAAATACTTAAAGCAAGTAAATAGTAAGTTTTAATTCTAACTTACCTACTAAATGAGCGTTGGGGTCTGCAAAAGTGTTTTTAAAGAGAAGTAAGTGTGTTCTTCAAATTAATTATATAGATGGCGCTTATGTAGGTAAAGTTGAGTGCCAAGCTGCTATCTTTGTTATATTAAAAATTTTTTGCAAACATTAATATTAAAAAATATATCTAGAAAAAATTAAATTAAAAATTAAAAATCCTAAAGGTATGTAATTCAAGTTTTAATTTTAACGATAAATTATTTAGGGAGTTAAGCCAATCAAGAGAGGTAAGGAAAAATGTGTGTTCTTATGAAACAATATTATTTATTATACTTATTAAATATCGGGTGAAATTATAAAAGTAGTTGAAAATGTAATTTTAACTGGGTTACTTGTTTCTATATTCTCCCTACTTGGTAGTGGCCAAATGTTTAAAACCGCTGAATACTAGTAGTTCGGAGGCCTACCAGTGGCCGAGCGGTAAAGTCACTGAACACTGGTAGTTAGTTTCGACATAGAATCCCGCGAACGGGCTGGCTGCATGGTCGTTTTCGTGATTTTCCCCGAGTGTAACGGGGATACCTGCCAGTAGAAAGTCCTTCTTGAAGGCATCCATCCCGTAAGGCGGATAACCCAAGTGTGCTTTTCCATATTCGAATAATCTAACCTAATCATCTCCTTGCTTGCTATTACACGAAAAAAAGAAATAATCGGTTCAATAACACACTTCGTAGAGTAAGCATGGAAAAGCACACGAAGGCTATCTGCTTAAAGGAAAGGATGTTTTCATAAACAGCTTTCTAAGAGAAATTAGCTAGTATTCACGTTCACATGGGAAAACCATGAAAAACACCCATGCAGCTAGGCTTATTGCAGCTGGATTCGTACTCGAGCCGAACTATCAGTATTCAGCAGTCTGAATCACTCCACCACGGGTGGGTCCTAAGAGTAAGAAGGAAATGGAGTGGACATCGTTCCCTGCGACAACAACAGGTTTATATCTCTTGGGCACTAGCTGCAAACGTGTCCGCCGCAAAGGATAATGAAAATGATCAAAGAAAAACTCGTTAAGAAGACCCCTCCGTTGGCGGTTTCCGTCGACGCATTTGATAGGTGTAAAAAGATCTTTTTTCCTAGAAATGCTGAGTATTAAGACGCATCACGCGTCGAAAAAGTTGTTGTCTTTCCTCTTCTGTAATAATTCTGTAATGTTATTTTTTAATTTATCAGGTTCAATGTCCCGTCTTACTTTCTTTGGGAACATGCAAGGACCTGACTCGGAACAGAGAGCTTACTAAAGCTATGTTCAATAACTGTGGAAAGTAAACAGGATACACAAGAAGGGTATACAAAACCCTTTATTTTTCTCTCTTTACAATAATTTCCGTATTTCGGAATACAAAGACCCACTACTTGTGGTCTAAACGTAAGAATATAAAAATATAACTAAACTCTAACTTGACTTTGAAATAATAAACGTGGAAGATTTGGCCTTATATTAACAGGAAGCCGTATGTAGTACAGAGAACTGTTAACACTACAATACGTTTAAAATTATCAAGAGGATTATTAAAACCTCTGGCCTGGAAGGCAACCAGCAACTGAGTTAAAAACTTCTAAGGTAAGCGGCCTGCTTCGATTAACTCCTTCCTCTCTCTCGCTTGGCAAAAAGCCACAACTTAAGTACTTGGCGTTCGTCAGACAAATTTTACATAAATAAGTTAACGCTTTTAATTCTGGCCGGAAGTACAAAATAAGAAGTGATAGTAAAGATTTAAAATAAAATAATAGTAAAACTTAAGATCCTTACAAATTCACCAAGAAAGCCTATGTTAAATATTGAAATAAATATAAAAAAAGCAACTGGTCTAGGTTTTTCCATCATGGAAGTTCGGCAACGTTACAGCTTAAATTTATTGGTCGCAGCGCTACAATATCAATTCCACGAAACAGTTTTAATTTGGTAATCAAACAAGAACTTTTGTGTTTTACTCTAAAAAGATTGCGGTCGTCAGTTCGGGTAAGAAAGGGAGAGTTAGGTTCCAAAATCCAACTCATCTTAAGTTTTTCGGGACAGTTAATGTTCGAATATCTCTAGTTTAAAGTGCCTCTTAAAGTTATCTCTTAAAGTTTTATGGGAGCGCTAGTGTCCGTAAATGTTAGTGAAGCGAAAGGACGGTCAGGTTCCAAAATTCAGCTCATCTTAAGTTGTGATTAATAGTCAGTGACTGAAGTTCTGCAGTATCGTATTAAACTGTTGTCCCAGCAGTGTCCGAAAATTGTGTGCGTTGTAAGAAGTGCTTTAAAGTACCGGGACCAACAACGCCCATAAGAAATTTTAAATGGTGATCTAAGAATCTACAGGTTCCAGGCTTCAACCAGGGCAGCAAACCTACAAATCCAGGCTGATAAGTACCTTGGATTTTTTATACTGAGGCAGTGAATTAATTTAATTTAAATTATTTTTGTAATTTAATTTATGAAAGTTCACGTAACTGTTTTTTTTTTTTTTTTTTTTCAGTTTTTTTCAGTTGAAACTGTTTTCTGTAAAGCTTAAAGAAATGTGTTGTTTTGGTTTTATGTTTCAAATAAGAAAGCATTAATTTTAGAAATTTGAATCTGTGTTGATAGATCTTTTAATATCTGAAATGTTGACGAGTCCTGCTGAAATTAAGACATTTTCTGCTGTAAAGCTTAAGGAAGTATGAATTTTATCAGAAATTCAAAAGCCTGGATTCCATGAAGGGCTACCCTTTAAGATTCACCATCCCTATCAGTTTCTTTTTCTTTATGAATTCAAATACTTATCGCATACTATCTCATCACTATTACCAGTGTGATAGAAATAAGAATTTTGATTTCGTTCATTTTTTAAATTAAAAAATACTTTTATTGAAAAGGTGTATCATAAAACAGATCAGAACATTTCTAAGATATAATACATTGTTTTAAAGTGTATAAATATTAATTATGATCTCTAAAAGGGCGAAAACAATTGTAGAATATATATTTGTTTTTTAATTATAAGCAAACCAAAACTTCTTTTGACTCCATTTACGAAAATAAACTATTCGCTGTTATAAAAACAAGGGTGTACTTTAATATTTTCAAGGATAAGTGTCTACAGATTTTAAAATTTTCAAAAGTTTACAGAAAATTTTAGACCAGAAAAGGATTCTAGCCTAAAATTTATAAACGGAATAAAGAAAATCAATATGCAATTGCTTTAATTGAGATAAGAATTCGGAAATAGGTTAATAATTAATCCAAAATATATATGAAAAATTCCGTAAGATTTCTTAAAA